CCCGCCTCTTCCGGGGGGGGCCCCCGCCCCCCCCCTGCCGGCTCCCCCGCGCATTCTCTCACCCGCCCCCAGAGCGTCCCCCTCGGCCCCATCCCTCCCTGCCGTGTGCAGCTCTCAGTGCGGCTCCCCCTTGCCCTCTTGCCCGCTGCTGCTGCCCCTGCCATATGCGGCGTTTGCAGGTGAGCAGGGTGGACGCCCAGGCATGATGTGATGTCACGGCTCAGGACTTTAAAATTCCTTGGCACCGCGTGGCCTAGTTCTGGGTTCAGAATCCGGGGCCCAAGCACAGACTCTGGCCCCACAAAGTGGAAGGCAGAAGGGGGGAGGAGGAGGTGGGAGAGGAAGGGGCTTGTGCGGAGGGGGGAGGGGTGGAAGAGGAAGAAAGAGGAAGGCACCAAGAGACAGGGTGGAAGAGCGAGAAATGCCAAGGGGCCAACTGCAGACAATGAGGAAAAGGGCAGGAGCGGAGATGTCAGTGGGAGGGGGGGACAGGGTGATGCTGGGAGGGGAGAGGAGGGGGAGGAAGGTGCTGGGAGAAGGCTAGAAAGAAGGGGTGGGCATGAGAAAGGTGAGGATGGAGCAAGTCGTGTGAGGGCACAGAGGGGCAGAAGGGGAACGGGGCAGAGAGGTGAGGGGGTGGGCATCAGGGAAAAAGAGGGCAAAGGGGGCAGGGCAGTAAGGGAAGGGGAAGGCACCACGAGGGAGCAGGGCTAAGGGAAGGTGCAAGTGCCAGGGGATTCTGGGGTGAAACAGAAGGAAAGACACCTGCAGGGGAGGGACCAGCATCAGAGGAGAAAGGCAGGACAGGTGTGTAGAGGGAGGTGTTAGAAGAGGGGATGAGGAGTGGTGGCTCTCATGATCGGAATGGGGCTACTGGAGGAGTGGGCACGGGGGAGAGAAGGGCTGGTAGAGAGGGGTAGATTGCAGGAGGGCTGAGGGCAGTAAGAAGGGAAGGAGTCAGGACAGTAGAGGAGGGTGAGGAGTTGGGGGGCAGCAGGCACCAGGGG